TTAGGTTAGCCGGTTGAGATGTTCACTGAGATATTTTCTTTCATCCATGTGTGTCACCCAGGGAAACTTCTCTCAACATGGCCTTTAACAACCCCGTGGTAGGGATGTTTAATGAAGGACAACTGATGCAACAATCCACCCACGTGACATCAAATAACTGGAGTTCTTTGGGAGACGAGAAACAAACAGGCACTCGAGAGTCTTCCCATAAGAGCGAAGTTGGTACGTGCTAATGCGCCACTTAAGGTCAGTTCACGCTTATTTCTGGCGTGGCGATTCTCATTCTGGAAGCTGTGTGTGACTTGTTGAACGTCGGTTTTACTGCTCGTAGCAAACCAGTGTTCAATTGGGGCCTTGAAAATCAGGCACAATATGGAAACATAAGTTTAAATTTTCCTTTGTTAATGTTTCTGTGCGTCCAGGGGACTGTGACTTCAAATTCTTCTTCATCCACAGCGGAAGCTACGTGTGGTGCTTTTATAAACTATACCTTCCGTTGATGGCTAACTCAGATTCCTCATGCCTCCATCTGGGGGAGGTAAAGTCAGAAATACAGCCTTGTAGTTACCGATATGTGCATGAACTTAACCGATCACGGTAATCCCAGTGAATCAAACGGTTGAAATACAGTTTCCCCATACTCACATATAAAGTAACCTAGGATACTGTGTGTATAGCAGCAGCATGTGTATCTGGAATACGCTATCGATACCCCGACGCTGCGAAGACAACCGTGTGAAGAGTATGTGAAGATAACCTGCTCTGATCCACTAACTTCCATCACAAACTAAGAATGTCATAAAGCCCTATAAGAAAGCCAATTTGCAAAGTGGTGGGTGCTTTCTCCCTAGTGTGGTTGCCTCACAGCAAACTACTCTGCCTTCCATAACGCTGGATCACTGATTCTGGTACCTTCGTGGATAGCAGCATAGAATTCCACAGTGCCCACTGACTGATCCATACGCAAGTTCAATCACCCTCCAACACAAGGGACAGAGATGAGTTGCAGTTGGACAAACCCACTTGGAACCCACGATCCAACACAAAGGACCATTAAATTCCATATCATTTTGAGTTACATAGGCCGTACAACAATGTAAAACATTAATCGTACAGCTGAGTAAATGAACACTAAGTTGGATTAGGGCATGTCGAGGAGAACATAAATCCATTCGGACCTGATGTAAAATAGTAGTTTCTTCTTGCTCCAATCCGCTGTGCGGTAGCGGGATGTGTAAAAATGATAGTGTAGGTTTGTTGTACAAATGGCTATTCTTCAAGATAGTAAAGTATGCTATGTGTAGGGAAGTGTAAAATTGATTTATTCAGCACTTATGCACATGATTCAATGTAAAAAAAATCGAGTACACGCTCGGTTGGGAAATCACATTCGTTAGAAGCCTTGATTATCAGGAAAGTGGAAAGTTTGTGTGTTGCTGGAATATCAAGTCTGGTCAAGTCAAAGTAGGTCTTATGCACCTGAGTAGGTGCATTTTCAGTATGAACAACATCCGCCGATTTGAAGACCCGGTTGCGGTGATTCCACTGGAAGTTAACGATTTCAGGTTTTGAATACAAATCGGTTATTATAGGTATTTCATGATAGCAACGTTTCGATAGACGCAAAAGCTTCTTCAAAACAAGATTTTTAATAGCAAAATAGGGTGAAGATAGTGAGAAATAACACGAATCATGGGATAAAAGCGTTTCAGCTCAATAGGTCAAGTGGCCATTCTAGTTAAAGGACATGCATCTAACGTTCCCAATTGATCCGCATCACAAATCCTTCACCTGTGAGGTATTCCTGGTCCTGCCACTGTTGATACTGTTGTTGTTATTGGTGGTGGTGGTGATGTTGCTGCTAACCCAATTGTGTGCCGGAATCACTTGGTCTGAAGAAGCGCACGCTACAGTAAAAAGCCAAACCCTTCTGGAATCATTTTGTTTATTGTCGCTACTGAAACCATGCACAGCCTGACCGCACATCCACTAACTTCGAATATACAATCTCTCTTGGACCCAGTAACATTATCCTCATATATCGTTGCATGATCCACCGGTTTCGTAGACCCTGGTGTGTGTGTGGGTACAAGAGATAAGTCCATTGGATGGAGAACTTGAGCAACGCGCCTTATGGTTCGTACGTATAGTACACATTCTCAGTTATAGATAGGATGTCGAAGCATTAGTATTGTGCTGCTCCCAGTCCGTGAAACTGAAGCAGTTTCTCGATAAGGCTTTGCTTATTGCACCACAGGTTCCGCGTTAACGGCCGGTCTTCTTCTGTTGAGATTATCCAAATAGGATTATTTTAATAGCTGGTAACGTGATACTACGCCTAACCATATGGCTTATGGCGCCAACCATGAGCAACTAGGCTCTGAGTTCCAGCCCAACTCAGGCTATCTCCAACTGCTGAGTCCCAACCAGGACGAAACCGCGGTCTTGGGGTGCCATTGTTGGGATGAGCAATACTATAATTTCCATTTTACTTACGGTCTTTTGGTCGGAGTGACCAAGGTCCAACTCAAGTGCTTATGGCGTCAACCATGAGCCACTAGGCTCTGAGTTCCAGCCCAACTCAGGCTAGCTCCAACTGATGAGTCCCAACCAGGACGAAACCGCGGTCTTGGGGTGCCAGTGTTGGGATGAGCAACACTATAATTTCCATTTTACCCCTATCCATATTTGACACAATGGATGTGTCCAAGGGTATTCATGAAACTGAATCATCCACAGCGTTGATGATGAACGAGATTTAGTTAAAACCAATCAAAAGCTGGTTGCTTAACATTACCTGTCATTTATATAAAAGAAAAACACACATTTCCTGCTTGTATCTTTGAGGGCACAAATGAAAATTATTTATTTGACGGTATGTATGGCTAATTGCATTGGGTAACAGCGCATTTCATCGGGATAGCAAAGATTCGCTGAATGGGTCATTGAAAAACCAATCCAGTACACACGTTGTCCCCTGAACGATATCCTTGTTATCACAACCGGCTAATTGACCACCGGACGCCCTGTCCTGGGAGGTTTTGTGTGTGTATAAGTAAGTCGTCAAACGCAGTGTTGACAATGAAAATATCGACACCATTTGCACTTTCTTTGCGTTTTTGACAGTGAGCCAGCACACCAGTCCTCTCTACTCCAATGCAGCGTGTCATCATGCCACGCATCTCATCTAATGAAACCCTACACATAAGTCACCAAGTAAAATAACCTAAAAATAGACCTCACGTTGGTCAACTCAAAACTACGCAAACGGAAATCACTGTCAACGCTTTAGATAATTATCCAGTGACTTGCATTGTCGCCAGAATAGATCCACCCTATTGTGGTGAATTGGAGCAGTCCCCATATGTAAAAGTGAAACCGAAAACGATTGTAGCAAAAAAAAAAAAACCTATCGCGGTGGTCTTACCGCAAATTTCACGTGTACACCTAGTCTGGTCCCGTTGTCAAATGTCCTAGTAAGTTGGGTTAAGACATGCAACGCAGGTGGTGTAATGTATGATCAAGTCGAATTTTGACTTCGGACAACGTAGGAGCAGACATGATGAAGTGAGGAAGTAACTTTCACTTTTGGGGTACATGGATGGACAATTGACGTCCCAGTGCCATCCAAACCGACTATACTGTGTGGCTAACTTCAAACGGTGACCTTTCACTAATGATGATGATTCACTAAGGGTTGAAATGCTTGGTTAAGATCCTTGAGGATCTGATACACGAATATGAGACCACCTCACAGAAGACAATATTGTTCACTGAAAACACAGATTCATAATTCTAAAGTGGTAAGGGCGGTGGAACAATCACTTAACATGTTAGTTGCCTTCCGTTATGGATTCTCAACAGCAATGAGGTCAACTTTTGGTCAAGGACGCCACACCAGGATAGTTGCATGTGGTGGCACGTACGCATTTACCATTTGCGAAAGGAAGTAGAATCAAACCGGACAAATGCTCTCCGCAGTAAGCCTAAGCGTTGGCTGGCATTTTTCACTGCCTTCTCGCCTGTCTTGAGCATCGCCGACCGTCCTGACAGAGCGCCCAAAGGTCACTTTCACGAGAAGCACGTTGAAAAACGTGTCTTTCTAGTCAAAATTCTTAGGTACTGTGGTGACGTATGCTCCAATGTTTTACACGTGACGGAAAGACTCGGATACAGACCAAGTGGTCCATTGACTGGATGGTCGAGTAAAGTGCATTCACAACCGTCAAGGTTTAGATCCGCAAAGAATTCAAAAAGCACAATCATTTGCGAGAACTTGGCTAGTGCAAATATTGTTTGGGAGTTTAGACTACATGTCATTTGAACGAGCACGCACAATGGATGCAGCACAAAACCATCACTGAAGGATTCCAAGTTATTTCATGCATCGGATGACCACGCGGATTGCCCGCAACTTGTACTGTTCTCGAGAATTGCAAAATGGGAGGAGCATGTTACCTAAGTTGTGACCACAAGCCATTCAATCAGTGTGCGAAACTAACTTTCAGTGAGAGATGGAGCCTACAAGATACACATAAACTACCATCGCAAATGTGAGCGTCGTCTGGTCTTTAACCTGTTCTCATTGCCTTTTAATGATAGCAAATGATTTTAACTCCAGTGTTACGGAAGCTTTGTGGTCATCGCTTAAGTTCATTCGCCTTACAACTAGGATTTTTGCGGCAGTGGTCGCGGAAATATATCCTAGATAACGCTGCTCCTGTGGGGCTTTGGCTTGGGCAACATCGTAGTCGGCCACCTGCACTGCTTTTGCTCTTCTGTGATTCCACTATCCAGCTTAAGTACGAATGTTGTTTGGAATAAATATGCTCGTTCGATGGAAACTCACGATGTGACTGAAACACATCGTATCATGCGGGGTTTGAATGGGTGTTTATCAGATTGCAAAAGCGACGTCGTGCAGGTATACAAGAAAGCCAGATAGATTCAAATTCCCTCAGGTAAGGTATTCAATCAGTTATTGTATAATATCAACGTACCAGATGGTTCGAAGAACGAAAGTCCGGCACAGAATAGGCTCCATGCCGAGACTGCGAATGCGGGTTAGCAAAGTGGTTTGTCAGCTCAGTCCCCCGGGGGTCGAGCCACACTAGTTGCTCATGGTCGTGTCCATTGGTGGTTCCTGGAACGCAGCAGGTTAGAGTGATATGTCCACCTTCCGCAACCAACCGATTGTGAACTCCGCCGATTACGCCGATTCGATCGGGATCGTTGCAATACTCGTGCAAAGACGCTGAGGATAGGGCTTGAACTATCCGAAACACAACCGAGATAAAGCACAGGATACAAATTTTCATTAATGATCCGGGCACTTTCAAGTTGGTTCCCTCTAAAATACAAACAACAAACGTAGATATCGGTTTAAGGGCAGCCACCACTAAGAAACACCACAGGTGGATTATATGTTAATCCACATCAATTTTGTGGTTATGAAACTATAAAATCAAATGACGAGAAATCCATCCGCTGAGACTATAATGGTGATCATCGAACAATCTCCGAATAGTCTAGATGCCAACAGACCAACTTGATGTTAGCACAGATAGACAGACAACAATACATCATTTTTCGCCACAGTTGGTTATTCGGCATTAAGAGATGCTTCGCCACACGTTATAGGATTCCCCAATAATAAGCAGATTTTAATGAAATGATATATGCATCCATCTTAACAGCAGCCACGAGCTAAGTGGGGATGAGAGACTAAGGTTCCGATTTGTGCAGCGCTTGTCTATTGATGATAGCGGTTACAATTTCATCGAGAATAGGTAAGTCAAAATAGTCGAATCAAACTAATTACTTGAGGCTTCGTCGCAGCCAGTTCCAAATCAGCTAGTCGTCCACATGCCCGGAAAAGCACTAGACTGCAGTTTCAGCCTGTTGTGCATCATCCGTAGTACGCATTTATCGGATCCATAATGATTCGAACCCATGACCACCGGAGGCTTGCACCGCCAGTAAGCAGCTTATGCTACTACGCCAGGGAGACACTCTCGGACAGATATCAAATCAAAATAACATTATACCCTCATATTGGCGCATTTTTAGCATTTGATAAGTCTTAACGGACAACCCTCAGTTCAAAGGCCTTCTACTCAGTCAATATGTTTGACGAAAAACTAGTTTTAAAGCGATGTTAAGTTAAAGCTGACACTTACATTTTTTCAGTCCTTGGACCACACACAAATAGACCCGGGCAATCCTGTCTCCTACTGATTCACTGCACTTGAAGGCAGTGACTTTCAGTCACAGTATGCTGCTGTCGTTGAAAAAGTCCTAGGTGGCGTTTCATATCCCGAGAAAGTACTTTATTCTCGACGCTTTAGAAACAATCGAGTAGCTCCTACTTGAAATGACACTTGTGATGCACCGGATGCTTGATGTTGCAATGCCAGTAGCGGACAGGCTTCTCGCTATTGTTCGCTTTCGCTGTTTTGACGACTGCTCACCCAATCAGGTGCTTGTGCACCGGGAGCACGTGCCGCCCACCGGCACATGCCGCACGTCACGTGATGAGGCTAGATGAACTAACGAAGGTGTACATGCGGCACCACAAAATGACCTTGTCGTCAAAGTACTTAGAAATGGGATTTCAGTGGTTTAAGAGGCACGCTTCTGTGGACCGTGATGGCAGAATCTGTATTTCTGTAGCTATGACGTCTACAGATGACTGAAGTAAAACATTTGCCCTGAAAACTAAACTGGTCTTGTGCCATGAGTGTGAGCACAATTCTAACGAGAAAGCTTAGTTCTGCAAGCTAACTGGATGTGAAAACTATGGTTGTTGGACCTGTTCAATTAGCCAATTAATACAGCATCAACAGTGAGCTAGTGAAGGCAGTTGCGACGAAGAATTGGGATTTGTTTTTGCATTTAACGCCGTGATGATAGAACATAATTATCGGGGAGAGAACAAAGGACAAAATGTGAGGACATAATTGCCACTGAGTTTGGTGGAATACAAATTATGCCGATCTTGTAGAAAGGTAACCGGCTAGATGCATGTTAATGAATGGAGCAGTGTCTTTGGATAGGTTGACCCTGAATGTTTGCTTAGGGCATTAAGTTTTCAGGTAAGTCCCCCTTCTCTCCCAATTCTTATTCTTTATTTCATAGATCCTCATGGTTGTATGGCAGCGAAGCATCAGTTCAAATGGCTGATGTACTGCTGTTGATGATGATGATGATGATGATGATGATGATGATGATGACTGAATTAGATTTATCTCTCACTCTTGATGTGATTGGGTCACAACCTCCAACCAGGGAGGCAGTAACCAATACCGCAATGAAGTCCGTCACCATTTATTTATGCTATTTCACCAAATTCGGCTGTGCTCTTGGGACAGAACCCATTCAAGTACAGAAACAGTAAAAAATGGACGCTAACGAAATTGATCGGTGAAAAGGCGGTAAATGTGAACTAGTCAACACAAGTGGTTAAATCTTACAAGACTATCGATGCGGTACCATCATCATCATCATCATACACGTTAGCTAGAGGTGGGGAACACCTCAGCCACTGTGCCGCAATACATAGAAAAAAGGAGAAAAAAAGCAACTGATGCAAGACGGCTGAGCTACCGGTAACGGATGGGCATCGTTCTGGTAAGCTACCAGCCGGCTACTGTGCATCAAAAAAAATTGCTATGCAAAATTATATAAGGCTAAATAATGAGATCGTGTTTGGAGGGAGAGGCTAAGAGGGATGGCGTGGGACAAAGAAACTCACAGCACGAACGCCACTGAGGTGGGCTCCTTGCCATATCAACAAGTGTGTCCAACCAAACGTGTTCATTGTCTTTCGGACACCAACCAGGGAGCCGAGGCGCTGCAACCGAGGCCAGCTCAGAAGTGAGGGCCTTCATTACTCTCGACAAAGTCATCGCTTGGCCACCCCTCCTCTTCTTCCATCCACACCCCCGGCGCGCAAACAACGCACGTCGCAGGAGTCAGTGGGCTGGCATGCGTAACACGTGGCCGAGTCATCGGAGCCTGGTGCGTGAAATAACGGTGCTGAGCGGTTCATTTCCTTTTCCTGTGCCGTAAACAAGGCGTCGAACACGCTCGTTGCTTACGCGGTGTTCCCACCAGATGTGAGCTAAATTGCGAAGGCACCGATGGTCGAACGTAACTAGCCTCGTCAGGTCCGCTGCTTTAAGGGGCCAGGTTTCACAACCGTACAGTAGAGTCGAACGTATCGCTGCATTGTACACTATACCCTTCAGGGCAAGTGTGATGTCGCGCCGCCGCCATAAGTGGCGAAGGTTAGCAAAAGCACCCCGAGCTTTTGCTATACGGTTCGTGATTTCATCTTCAATCCCACGGGCGCTGATACAACTTCCCAGGTAGTTGAATATTTGAACGACTTCTAGCTGATCCCCACCAAGGGTCAGCGAAGGAGGCGGTCCAGAACAATCTTGGAGGAACGCTTTGCACTTCGAGGGTGCGAAGCAAAGCCCGAAGTGACGGACAGCTAGTGATAATCTGTCCAGTGCCGCTTGGCACGTTTGTGAGCTGTCACAGATTAGGGCAATATCGTCAGCATACTCTAAGTCAAGAAGTCGTTCTCCTGGGAGCAGGCGCATACCTTTTAAGTCGTGTCCTGTAAACGCGATTTCCATGACTTCGTCAACAGCGAAGTTAAAGAGGAAAGGTGACAGCGGGCATCCATGTCTCACCCCGCTGGAGATATTAAAGGGCGACGACAATTTGCCGTAAGCCCTCACTCTGCCCGAGCTACGCGCATATAATGCCCGAATGATATTTACATATTTCTCGGGTGCAACTTTCCTGAGTAGACAGTCCCACAGTGTCTGTGTATCCACAGAATCGAATGCAAAGTTGATATCGAGGAACACGACAACAGTGGGCCGCCAATATATGTGACAGTGCTCCAACAACTGACGCAAGGTGAAGATGTGGTCAATGCAGCCACGACCTCGACGAAACCCGGGTTGCTCTTCACGAATCTGGCTTTCACGAGTGCCGGTCAGTCTGTGAAGGATGACAGAGGCAAGCAATTTGGAGGCGATGGAGATCAGACTGATTCCTCTATGGCTGCCGCATTCCGATCGTGAGACTCCCTTGAAAATTGGGACTATGACGGGGAGGCTCCAGTCGGTTGGGACAGTTTCCTGCTCCCATAGTTTAACTAGCAATTAGTGCAAATTATCCACAAGAGCAGGTCCCCCGAATATGAAGAGGGCTGGAGGAAGATCATCAGGTGCCGCGGCTTTATTGAACTTCAACAGTCCGATCTCACGTTCGACTTCTGAGCGAGAGGGTGGATCCGAAGGGACAGCCCATGCAGCGGAGCGATCAGTGGCCGGCGAGAAATCTAACAATTCCGGCCGATTAAATTGCCTTTCAAAGTGCTCAGCCCAACGCTCCAAGCGTTTTGACAAGTTGTGGATAGGCTGTCCACCCTCGTTACAAATTCTTTTACTGGTGTACCATATATCCTGCTGCCGGTTTCCCTTATCAGACGGAATAACTTTCATTGGTTACCAAGGGCAGCGGCCATTTCCATCTCTGATGCACGTTGAGACCACCAGGATTTGCGGTCTCTCTTCAGGTTAGCACGGAGTTTTGCCCTCAGGTCTTTGCGAGTTTCATTGTGTTCGCTTCCAGTCGGAATATGCCGGTGAGCAGCCAGAAGTTCCAGAGACTGTGAAGAGACCCAATGTCCATGCTGTCGATTAGACATACCACATGAGGATTTTCCTGCTGCAAGTATGGTCTGGTGAATATGAGACCAGTGAGCTTTAATTGCATCCAGTGAGCGATTATCCAACCCTCATGACAGCGTACTTTGATAGGCATTCTGAACAGCTGGCTTTGCCAGTTGCCTGGTGTCAATGTGCTCATAACGTCGTCTTGGGCGTCCGCCAAAGCGCATCCGCAGGTCAGCACATACAAGTGCATGGTCGGTGTCCACACATGTGCTCCAAATCGAGCGACAGTTCTGGATGCAGCCTCTCCAGCGGTAACTGATTGCAATGTGATCGATTTGCGTCCAAGGCTGGTTCGAGGCTGGTGGGCGCCAAGTCACCCTCCGGCAGGTGCTGTGTCGGAAATTAGTGCTCGCAAGAAATAAGCGAGCATCCTCACACAAATGAAGTAACCGCACACCGTTATCATTACGGGAGCCTACACAGTGTTGGCCGCCCAGATGCAGCTCATCAGTGGATAATTTTCCAACTTGAGCGTTCAGATCCCCGGCCAGCACTACAGTGTCCGAGCTTCTTCTGTGGCTAAGGAGCTCGTTCAGTTGACGATAGAAGTCGTCTTTTACCGAGTCATCGCTACAGTTTGTCGGTACATAGG